GAAAAGTGCCAAAAAATCCGGTTTTTCATGGACAAAACTAAAACGCTCAGTGCTTCCAAAGTAAGGCAGATATGGAATCGCGGTTTGTGGCATTGCAAAGCTAAGATTTCAAACTAGTACCTGTCAAAATTTCAGCATCCTATCTCATCTGGTTTGACCGTGGTGAAGCTGCAAAATTTGGATTTTCAAAAAAGGCAAAATTGACAAATTTCAACAGGTAGCTACCTGTGGTACCAAAATCCATTTTTGGGTCGAATTTTTTTGGTCTCGGAAATCGATGTAACCCGGTTTTTTGGACTCGGTGCTTCTCTAGCTCTCCCCCAATGTGCATAAAAGTGAATTCTGAGCACTTTTTTTTTTTGCGGAAAAGTGCCAAAAAATCCGGTTTTTCATGGACAAAACTAAAACGCTCAGTGCTTCCAAAGTAAGGCAGATATGGAATCGCGGTTTGTGGCATTGCAAAGCTAAGATTTCAAACTAGTACCTGTCAAAATTTCAGCATCCTATCTCATCTGGTTTGACCGTGGTGAAGCTGCAAAATTTGGATTTTCAAAAAAGGCAAAATTGACAAATTTCAACAGGTAGCTACCTGTGGTACCAAAATCCATTTTTGGGTCGAATTTTTTTGGTCTCGGAAATCGATGTAACCCGGTTTTTTGGACTCGGTGCTTCTCTAACTCTCCCCCAATGTGCATAAAAGTTAATTCTGAGCAACTTTTTATTTTGGGGAAAAGTGCCAAAAAAATCCGGTTTTTCATAGACAAAACTAAAACGCTCAGTGCTTCCAAAGTAAGGCAGATATGGAATCGCGGTTTGTGGCATTGCAAAGCTAAGATTTCAAACTAGTTGCTGTGTAAATTTCATCTTCCTATCTCAACTGGTTTGGCAGTGGTGAAGCTGCAAAATTTGAATTTTCAAAAAAGGCAAAATTGGTCAATTTCAACAGGTAGCTAGCTACCTGTGGTACCAAAATCCATTTTTGGGTCGAATTTTTTTGGTCTCGGAAATCGATGTAACCCGGTTTTTTGGACTCGGTGCTTCTCTAACTCTCCCCCAATGTGCATAAAAGTGAATTCTGAGCAACTTTTTATTTTGGGGAAAAGTGCCAAAAAAATCCGGTTTTTCATAGACAAAACTAAAACGCCCAGTGCTTCCAAAGTAAGGCAGATATGGAATCGCGGTTTGTGGCATTGCAAAGCTAAGATTTCAAACTAGTTGCTGTGTAAATTTCATCTTCCTATCTCAACTGGTTTGGCAGTGGTGAAGCTGCAAAATTTGAATTTTCAAAAAAGGCAAAATTGGTCAATTTCAACAGGTAGCTAGCTACCTGTGGTACCAAAATCCATTTTTGGGTCGAATTTTTTTGGTCTCGGAAATCGATGTAACCCGGTTTTTTGGACTCGGTGCTTCTCTAGCTCTCCCCCAATGTGCATAAAAGTGAATTCTGAGCACTTTTTTTTTTGGGGAAAAGTGCCAAAAAATCCGGTTTTTCATGGACAAAACTAAAACGCTCAGTGCTTCCAAAGTAAGGCAGATATGGAATCGCGGTTTGTGGCATTGCAAAGCTAAGATTTCAAACTAGTTGCTGTGTAAATTTCATCTTCCTATCTCAACTGGTTTGGCCGTGGTGAAGCTGCAAAATTTGAATTTTCAAAAAAGGCAAAATTGGTCAATTTCAACAGGTAGCTACCTGTGGTACCAAAATCCATTTTTGGGTCGAATTTTTTTGGTCTCGGAAATCGATGTAACCCGGTTTTTTGGACTCGGTGCTTCTCTAGCTCTCCCCCAATGTGCATAA